TTTTTGCCTTGTCTCCATGCAGCTGCTATATTTTTTTCTCTTTACTGCTGCTGTCAACTGTGCACACAGAGGTGAGACACGCTAATGTGTGTGTGCATACTGTGTACAGATATTTATGCATGTACATATATACATGTACATGAAACAGCTGAATGCCACAATGGGACATGCATAATGAGATACCTGTTTTATAGGGTGCATCTGGCATGGCCCTGAACAACTCACTCAACATTAATTGATTTATCTACTATTATTTACAAAAATAAGTCATCCCTCTCTTTCTACTCCCCTGTATTTTAGTGTAAATTGAATAACAGTCACAGGTATTAGACGAAACAATGAGTTTTCTGTCAGATCTCATTAAACTGCATTGGCTTTTCTTATAAAATTGACATGATGATGTACTCATTTGTTCTCTTCATTTTTTTTCCGTTTGTGAAATATGGCCTTGCTAATTATAGGAGATAATATAGGATTTGTATAATTAACTAAACCCTTCACAGCCAAAGTGAACTGCCACTTTCTACAATCATTTTGAGGCCCAGTCGATCCAGTTACCAACTTAAATATCTCAAGGACTTCATCAGCAAGATTTCTATGCCGTAATGCTCAGCTCTGAGTTTTACTGCTTCTGCTATAATAGGTTTGTTCCTTCTTGCTGCATTCTTCAAAATTGAAAATAAATGATAAATCCCAAAGTGGCGCCCCCTGTAATTACTGCTGAACAGTTACATAACTTCTCAATAGCAATTGATGATTCTTGAAGGGGAGTCCCATGTTCACTTGAGAACTGGAAGGCTCCTTTTCTCTTTGAGCCATGTTTAGCGGCAAACCTTCCTCCACTTCTGAAAACATGAAATTCTTCTATTCTTGCTATTGTATGAAAAGCCATATTAGCAGTGCTCTCATTGCTTGATTTTTAAGTGAGTTTTTCAGGAATATTTCTGTCTCCTCTCTATGCAGAATAGTGGTATGTGTATGAGCTAGTTCAAAATGCATTCCTTGCACACTCCAACCCCTCTTTCTATACCAAATGAAACAGAAAAAAGTGCCCTGAGGAGAACAAGTACAACAATAATCCTTCCACAGAGAGGACAGTAATGCACTGCAATACATGCCTGACCCAATGGGGAGGGGGGTGATACAGGGTGCAGCACTGCTTACTGTTTCTTCTGAATAAACATGGGAATTGAATCTGCATGTTCAATGGAGTAGTCTGTGGACTCACATAAAAAAAAGAAAAAAAATACAGATTGAAAAGGTTATGCTATGTTACTGGTTAAGTGCTACAGGATGTGCTTGCCTTCCTTTTCAATGACTATGATTTGTTATTGCTTCCTGGGTAGACTGAGTCATTTCAGTTATGATTGTTAACATTATTTTAAAAATTATTGCACAAAATATTAGTCTTCTCTTAATTTAATTAATGTAAAATGCCTAAGATCTGGAGTTTTCCAGAAAAGGGGTCATCGTGAGCACAATATCTAAAATACATAAAATAGTAATTAATTTGAATTCCTTAGGTTGCTACGTACAATCCTAACAGTGTTGCCATGCACCACACAAGGATGTTAGTAGGAATGGTAGTACTGCTGTGAGACTATATCAGGTCCAGATGACTTCTACATACAATATTAAGGAATCAGAGGCCTCCTCTTAAATCCCTGTGCTTATGGAGGCAGTGAGCGGGGGGTCATGGGAAGCCTCCATATATAAAGGAGCACATGTCGAACATCTCATGTACTACTGTATAACACCTGGTTGGATTTAGGGATACTGGAGCAAACATGACCCTAACACAACTAGTATTTCACAGCATTGGAAATACAATGAAACTATTTTTTCTTCTTTCTTTTTTTACTATGGGAACTGCTCCACTTTTGCTCTAATATGTTTGCTCCAGCTTTGGCACATCATGAATCTAAACACATGATGACATTATCCCCCACTTCCTTTTCCATGCCAAAACCAACCAATATTTGTTATTGGGGGGGGACCATCATATGTTTGGGTATTTTCAGGAAAAAAAACACCCCACTGCAATAATATACATTTTATTTTTATATAGTTCTAAACTTTTTGGAAATAGGTTAAAAAAAAAATCTATATATATGTACACATTTATAAACATTTAATGTATACATATGTGTAAATTCAATATATAATTAAGTGTCTACAGAAATGTGTGGATGCTCACGTATCTTTCACCTAGAAGAATTTCACCTTTTTCTCTATTGCCTATCCATGTCACATCAGTAAACATTAAGAGATCTGTACCTGAGAATTCGCCAATTACTAGATTTGGTGCTATGACATTAGGGTCAAGCAGAGCATTGCAGATCATTAAAAATAGAGCTCCAAAAGACAGTTTGTGGTTTGATGACACTGAAAAAAAAATTGTGAAGTAAACAAATTTCTGTCACATAACCACTGGTAAATTGTAAATGGACTAAAATGCTACAGAATTTAAAAATCTCTAAATAACTGTGAATATTTTCTTTCACCAGAAGAATCCATATAAATGGTCTCAAAGCTACATACAAATTAGGAGATGGATATTGGAGTTGTGTTAGAAAGAAAACAAAGTGAATTATGTGGTACTAGCTTTGGAAGTTGGGGCCACGAAAGCCAGTATGTGCAATGCTCAAGTAACGAAATTCACAAAAATACACAATATCTAGTCTCAAAGGATAAATATGTTACTAGGAAAACAACAGTGATGACATGATCAGGAAAGAAATTCTCAACCAAAAACAAGGACAAAAAGAAATAGACAAGACCAATATTCCTCAACTAGCGCAAGCTACCATATCATTGGGTAGAGTGAATGGACAAAATAAAAGGCAATACATTTTTTTAAGTTATGCAGTACATGTTTTTACGCAATACTTTTTGTACTAGCCAAGTGTGACAGCACATTTATTTTACACTTTCAAGCTTGCAGTATTCCTGTTCTGCCTATTCTTTGTTTATGAATTCCATTTTTTTAAATTTATATTAACATAAAAATGGAAAATATGCAAATCTACATAACATTTCTTGTACTCACGACTATAGGTGCTTGTTTTATAAAGGTTAATAAAAACATAAAAAAATAATAAAAACACATACGTACAGACACAATGCTCCACTACACTCTGATCTCTCAAAGTTTTACTTCTCAGACTTGGTTCAGTGTGACAGAAAGTTTGAAACTGTGAAAGAAACACTACCCTAACAGATTAGGCAAGTTAATAGTAAGTAATTGCTACATGTATCCATGTTCTTTCAGCTGTTCATTCCTCTCTCTACAACATTATTACATTACAATTGCAGAAATATCATTCAGATGCAAAACTCAGTATGTGCAAACTGCAAGAATTTTTTTGTGGTTTTCTGTTTTTTTTTTTTCTGTTTGAAGTCCATCTTGTAAAAACACTGGACAAAAAAAAGTAAATTTTTTTTGTATAATTTTTCTTTTTAGCTTAATATTTCCCTATTGATTCTCTGTAATCATGTCAGCTCACATATGACTTCAAAGTTTTCTTTTCTGAAAGTGCCTTCTGTAAAGTAGTCCTTTGGGACAATAATCGGTCACATCCTAGGTCAAGTTTTACATTCATCCCTTTGAAACCACATTGAAACTTTCAACATCTTGCTCTAAGAAGCTCTACATGGTTTCAGTGTTGAAAAAAATTACGAAAAATATTTTTGAAATACACAGATTAAAAATGAAATACAGTACTTAGCAAACATTAGACCAAGATGCTTGTCAATAAAGTGTGAACAGCATTTTAAGTGCTAAAAGAAAATCTTATTACTCCTCCAGTTCTTGTTCCTTGACATGTCACACTAAACTTTGAAAATAAAAAAGTGGCACCAATTGACACTAAAGAACAAAAATGAAACATAAAATGGTTGTGCCCAGGATGTCAGCAAGTGATGTTAGTGCTTGTAATCGGCAGTGTGCTTTGACCCTGGGAAGCACATGCCATGTTTCCAAAACATTTGCATGTTTTACTATTATGAATATATGTCCAAACCGGAATCCACTAGAGAGTTTTCATTATTAGTATTTGCCTCTGGGTCCTGTCAAACTGTGCTTGCCTTGACAGCCAGACTAGAGATGTCATTCCAGCAGTTACACAATTGGAAGGTAAAAATATTAATGACACAAATAATTAATAGGACATACAGAAATATTTTTTTCTTCACAGCACATAAAAGACTTTTTAGAGCATGGAGGGATGTCTGTCCCTCTAAAGTTGACTTGTACAGCTAGCTAGACTTTCATAGGATGAATTTAAGGTACTTATAGAACTAGCACCATTAGCCAAGGTGGTGTGGAATCATATTTCTACTTTAAAAGGATACGTTGCCATCAAAAACTTACACCTAACCACACCACTATGACACACAGCACAAGTGTCTAACCTATGATGGGACCAGTTGAAGAAAATGTGAACACTGGACAATTACACCAAAATATGTATATTGGTATTTTAGCATTGTCATTAGGACAATGACCCTTCACTCTTTATATCTTTGTGCCAGTGACCCACAACATAATAAAACACAGTCGTAAAGCTATACCCTCCATGGGAAAGCTCAAATATCAGCATGCATGCAAGCACAGACTCCACATGTGCACTTATTTCTTTCTTCATTTCCCTTGTAATCCTCTCTGAAAGATTTTAAAATAGAATGTGGTTGAAATTTGAAATTGGCACCCTGAAACTAAATCACAGAAGCCGCACTTGTACAACCCTCTCTATCAAGACTGCGGAAAAATTAGACTGCCTCTTAAGTAGCTCCCCCACATCCTAGCTAGCATACTAGTGAACACTTGTGAAAAGAACATATGCACCAACAGCCTTCTGAAGGATACCAGCCACAACTATAACAATGTTATAAACCTAAAATAAGATGATAACATGTAAATACTGGGTTATTTATTCTACAGTACAGTAATCTGAATAAAATGACAAGGGTAAGCCTAATTTCTCCTTTCCGAACGGGTTTCACTTCCCTACATTAGATCGACCCTCAATGGAAATCTTAACCTCCTGAGGAATAAAAGAGGGCTTGGGAAGAGTCAATGGTGGTTCATCTTCAGATTTCTCTAATTTTCTTGATTCTGGGGCAGACCACCTCCTCTTCCTTGTTGTCATGGGCTTACCAGGTTCTGTTTTGGCTTCAAAGGACACGGCATTCAATCCAGCAGGACACCTTAGTTCTCCATTCTCAGATGAAACCTGTACACTTCCCTGATTAATCCCATTCTCTTGTTCTGCATACCTATGTCTATTTCCAGACAGACTGTCATTCTTTGGGTGCTTCAGCAAGATGCTAGCTGGATCCATGGGCTGCCCCTTCTTTATAGAGCCATTTTTTAAATTCTTGAGTGTAAGCGATATGCAGACATCTCCTACTGACAACTTGGAACATGGCAAATCAAAGAGCTGGCTTGTTCTCTCAGGACTGCATGATGACCAGCCTTGACCAAAACACAAAAAATGGATATTCTATCAAGACTTCCACACTGACCTAAAGAAACACAAGAAAAGATATTGAGTTTAAAAGTATTACTCTAAATACAATAGTTTCCTGGTTTTAGGGAACAATTCAAAATACAAATAAATAAGAACAGATAACCATCAATGCTAATTTGGATTTCTTGGATTGGAAGAATTGGATGAGGAAATTTCTCTGATCACAAAGGCCCTGTCTTGGGTGGAGGCACTGCCTACTTTATTATCAAGCCCACTCTTCCACTTAGGGAAAGTTCTAGTTATCTTATTTTTCTACAGATTTTGTGCAATATTCTGTTTGGCGATGGTCATTTCTCATAACCCCACCAAAAGAGGGCTCCACAAATATCACACCCAAAATATATTTACAATATGGCTAACACTGATGCCTTTACAGTGATGGAAAAGGCTCCAGCATTTTTCTTTTCAAAATAACAAACATCTCATACTTACCTGCTGTGTGCAATGGTTTTGCACAGAGCAACCCCAATCATCCGTTTCTGAGGTCCCCCACTAACGCTGCCTAGTGCCCCTATAGCAAGCACTCGTGCATGCTCACTCCTGAGCCTTACTCCGTGTGTCTCTCTTCACACAGAGTGTGGCTCAGCTCAACCCCCTCCTCACTGGCTGTGATTGACAGCAGCAGAAGCCAATGGCTCCTGCTACTGTCTCTGAGCCAGTGAGGAGGGAGAGAGTGCAGAGAGCCTCCATTCTTCTGCACATTGCTGGATCAACATCTGGCCCAGGAGACACAGAAGGTTTTTTTTTTTACCTTAATACACAGAATGCATTAAGATAAAAAAAAAACTCAAGGCTTTAGAACCACTTATTTTATATTAGATCTACACTATAAACCAAAGGTTTGTCTAACACAAATCTGTTTGCACAATTTAGTGTTACAAAGCAATCAATAAAACTGGTTGTACCTTTGACATATAATCTCAAATTGAAAGCAGCAGATCCCTTCTACACACACAACAGTGCCCAGCTAGACTACATTCTTCTACCCTCAAAGAAGCCTATCAGAACCTAGCCCTCCCACTTCTGCTTCTGATCATTGGATTACATTGATGGTGTCATCAGAGGATGAGGTCAAGGAACATGAAGAGCTGTTACACAGAGATGCCGTGCAGTAAATTAAGAACAGACAAAATAATAACTGCAGAATGTCTTCTGTAGATGCTATGTCAGCACAGTTGGCTTGTCTCATACTGTTTAAAAGACAAGGTTGCCCGATTCTAGATCTGCTTTATATTACAACAAGTTTTTCAACAAGTCTTTTAACAAGTCCATTTAAAGACCACCTTCACCCAAGCTGCTGATGCTCACCTTACCTTCACACCCCTGAAGAAGTGAAAATAAAAAAATGTATGCTTCAAGTTGCTCTAGCAGGAGCTTACACAGAGCAAAGTACTCTGTTCCTGGGTGTCAGTTTAGGTACCAATTGCAGCATTGTGGGAAGAATGAAAGAGAGTCATGGGCTTGTGCTTTCTATTCCTGGAAGTAGTAATATTATTATTATACAGGATTTATATAATGCCAACAGTTTGAGCAAAGTGAGTACAGACAACAAAGTTACTATACAATTCAATACAAGAGGGCCCTGCTTTCTGTTCTCATCAGCAAGTCAATGGAGCAAAGGGGTAGTGAAGATAAGATAAGTATAAGCAAGAAGGGTAGGCAGCATTTAAACAATTCTACTGTTTCTTTGCATGAGAAAAACACAGGTTCAAGTAAACATTTTCAAAAAATGTATGATAGATCTGGAGGCACCTTTAGCATTACGACACACAAATTATTGCGAAAATAACAGTTCTGCTTGCAAGAAATATCTGAAAGAAAAATGGTGCTGTATACTCAGGACTTCCTAAAAATACACCTTGGTACCTTAAGTATGCATGAGTTCATTTATATGGACTCAGTATGGTCCTCAGGCAGAATCTAAGCAAGGGTAAGTTGATCTGTGACATTAATACTCATTCAAACCATGAATAAATAGTCCTTATATCACATGCTGATGCTGCTTGACAACAGACACATTACCTACAGACAAAATCATAGCGCTATTGCAGCATATATTCAACTATGGGAAAATGTCATCTAAGACTATTTGATTAATTTCTGGTGCCTGCTTTGGGAGTGCCACCTCAACTCTTTAAGATCCCTTTCACACAGGGCAAAATCTGCTTTGCTCAGCAGGGGATCTGTCTGCTGGTGTTTGACAGGTCCCTGTCTGCTAGTTTATGCAGAGCGGACACAGAGGGAGCCCGCTCTTCTCTATGGGCAGCTGGGTTTAAACGGACCTGACTGCCATCCAGTTTGATTCGCCTACACAGCAAAGAACAGATCCCCTTCTGTTTGTTTTTAGTGGACTGGATTGCAACGGAGGAAGGCAGGTGTAAACGGACACGAGTCCGTTTACACCCGCTGGTCCATAGAGATGAATAGACCATCTGATCAGGTCCGCCTAAAAAATTGACAGGCGGACCTGATTGGAACAGGGCCTAAAACTGAACAGAAGGAAAATATACAGGTGCTGCAGCTGGTTAAAATAGTAATTAGATTAGTCCTTTGCCCACATTTATTTAGCCACAGAGCCTTTGTAATTCATATGTGTTTAAAAAGATAATGTGATTACCCTAGTGTGAAAATATGACACACTCAGGGTGGGTTTATGAAAGTTTCATGTCTTATAACCTCTCTTTCACATAACAGCAGCATCAGCATGTGACATATGGACTTCTCATTCTCATTCTCTTGTTTTGGGTGAGTAATAAAGTCACGGACCAACACACCCCGGTTTTCATTCTGCCTAAGCACTTTACTAAATTAAGACACAAAGCGTGATTTGATACTTTAAATGTATCTGTATCATTGTACTTAAGCAATACAATAATTCATGACTGTCATATCGAACCAAGTGTTATTAGCACAATAAAAATGTCAAAAGACTATCCGTGCATGAGTTTCATGCAGTAGTTGAGAGATATGGTAGAAATCAAGCCCTATGTACAGTTTAGAAAATGTTGCCATTATGGTCAAATGCACTGGATTGATTGGAAAAGGCATAAATAAGGTTTTTTTTATAAGTGTAATGGGCTTTATAGATCTCATGAGGATTATGGAAGCTCCTTTCACCTATGTGGAACCTGTTCTCATACCAACATATAAAAAAAAAAGAACATCCAAGCAGCAGTGGGTCTTCAAATATGTATTCATTCAGAGAAATTATGAAAATAAACTCATTTGATCTCACAGCAAGGCTCATGACATCAAACAAGGATCCACTCCAGTGGGTACCAGGGAAGCATGAAAATACAACAGAAGAGACAAGCTAAAGGGGGAGAGGCCAAAATGTTTTAATGGAGATTATACAATGGAAAACAAACGACAAAATTATCCAACTAGATATATATTATATATATATTATATATATATATATATATATATATATATATATATTTATTCTTAAAAAATTAAAATTATTATTATAAACTCTAAAAAAACCAACTATGTAAAAGAGTCCATAATCTATTGTTATAAGAATACTTAGTAGGGATGTACCTATGCAGAGTATTTGCACAAGTGCAAATGCTCCCGATACCCAACACCGATACCTTTGCAGTGCAATCTGAGCCCATACAAAATTAATGGGGTTGAATTGCACTGCAAGGAATCGTATTCAATTGAAAAGGAATGCGATGCGATTCCTGTCCAAATCGCATGCGGTTTCCCCCACTGCTCTAGAGCTGTCATTTGTCTGCAGTGCTGATCATCCTGAGTCATGACCAACATGTGCTGGATATAATCCCTTGGCTTGGCACAGTTGATTATGATTTATTCTGCCTGGACACTTATTATAAAGGTAGGGCCCCCTCATTATTTTCCTCTTTGTTAGGCTCCTATGCTTTTTTTAACTGTTTAGCTGCCACCCATTGTGTGCCCCCTCCATAATTAGTGTTTTTGACTTGCTAGTGATCTGTAGATAACCATCTTCTCCCACCATCTAGGATCTGCAGAGATGGTCCCATCAATTAGAGACCCCCTTCTGTGTTAGCCAGGCATTACCTGATCAGGCATGGATTGCCTGCACTCCAGCAACCTGCTCCTGCTCCTGGGTGAGTGAGACAACCCAATCTCCTCCATACACCACCCCATCTTCTCTAGGAACTGGATACCCCATTAGACCAAGCTGGCTGGCAGGCCTTATGACTAGGGGGCCAGGATGGGGGGCAGTGTGCAAAATCACAATCCCCAGCCACAAAAAGACTTCCTGCGCAGCTCCTGTGTGAACTCAGGCTATTACAAGCCTGAGTTCAGACAGGAGCAGTGGGGAAACTGCATGCGATTTGGACAAGAAACATATTGCATTCCTGTTCAATTGCATGCAATTCTTTGCAGTGCAATTCCAGGCCATTCATTTTGTTTGGGTTCAGATTGCACTGCAAAGGTATTGGTTTTGGGTATCGGGTATTGCATGCCATTCTTTGCTGTGCAATTTGTGTTCATACATTTTGTATAGATGCGAATTGCACCACAAAGTATCGGTACTCTGTATCGGCGAGTACTTGACCAAAAGTATCGGTACTCGTACTCACCGGTCAAAAATTGGTGCATCCCTACTTAGCATAGGTGTCAATGCAAAATTGAGAACACATACTATGGCAAATGATAAAATTATCAGTGGTGTCCATGAAAGTATCAGGTAAATACTATGCTCAAATTAAATGCAGAAAAATCAATGCGCTATATGACTTAAATAATAGGATGTGTGACAGGACATGCTCAGGGCTAACAGTTATATTGTCCTGTTACACAGACCATTATTTTAGCTACATAGCTCCTTGAATTATCTGCAATTAATTTGAGCATAGTATTTGCCTGATACTCTCATGGACACCGCTGATGATTTTTATGGTTTGTTTGCCATAGTATATTTTCTCGTTTTTTACATTGAGACCTATGCTAATTATTCTATCTTATCAAATTATATGTTTTTTTACACAGTTTGGGTAA